AGTGCCGCTCAATCGGGAGAAGGGGCGCCTACAGAGGTGTCTGCGGCTTCGAGATTCTTTCGAATTAAATCAGGTTTTCTTTGTTTTTTTATTTTTTTAACAGCATAAATATATTTGGAAAACTATTACATATTCTATACATTAGTTTAAAACACATTTTCGGGTGCATTTACAGCATGTTACGTCGCTCTCGGTAACAGTAAACTCCTTTTATACAGCCTGCAGATTGACAGGCTTGGGACAGGCTGAATTTGAGTGAGGTTTTCGGTACACGATTAAAATTATTATTAAGGGCAAGGTGCCATGATGTTTGAGAAGTTCAATGGTGATTATTATTATTGAAGAATTGTCCAATTTTCTGGTTGCCCAATCATGTAATTTAGAAGTTCATGAATCAGACGGAAGACAATTTAGATAAGGGAATTCTTAGAATAAAACTGTGGATCATATCTGGAGATAATTTCAGACATGTTAAAAGAAAAAAAATCTAATCAAGAGAAGGTGCTTGGGTAACTCTGCAGCAGACTATTTTAGCTTCAACATCAAATTATCATTTTCAAGCAGATAGTCAGATAGCCTTAATAGTCAGATAACATTAATATTTGACCCTTTGGGATTTTGTCACCATTTACACTAAAGGCTTAAAATAATAATTAGAGAATCCACAACCTGAAGGGGACTGGCTGCAAAAGAAAAGCTAGGAAGGGATGACCCAATGTCACAGCTAAAGAGAGAACAGATACGTTTCCCTCGATGCGTAAAACCAACAAATGCTGTAAGTAACCCAGGGTTGATTATATTTAGTAATGCAAGTAGTGTAGCAGTGGGCTGTTGTGATTGCATAAGGTGGGAGCTGTCCACTGGACAATTCATAACTAAATTATTAGCTGCAAAAAACAAGCTGACCCCCTCAAAACTCCCAGTTTACCCGGATTGGAATTGTGTGGAACAGTGATGACGTGTAGAAATTCATTGAAAAGAGTTTTCAGTTTGAGTTTGTGATTTTGCTAACGGATTCCTCCATAGTGAGATGACTCATTAAGATTAAATTCTTATATAGCTGGGAGGATTTCAGAAATACAAAGCAAAATTAAAGAAGATGAGTGAGCACAGTCCAGCAGATATAATAACTCAGGGTGTAGAATTGGTTTGGCAAAAGGCACCTAAATACATGACTTTTTCCGTGAATGAATGGCCTCTTAATCGCGAATATAGTTTGGAAATTCCACATGGGGCATACAGACAGGCTACAATAAAGGCTTTGCATATTGTTGATAGTATTATTGAGGTTAACAAATTTGGAAGCTATAATAAACTATTCAGGATCATAGCTAGAATACTGAAAACATGTAGAAATAAATCTTTACTGGAAATTAATAAAGATATTGAAGCAAGTGACAGTCAAGAGGCTTTAATTTACTGGATCAACATTGTGCAGGAAGGTCTACCTCCTGATTGGAAATCGAGCTATAATAAACTGAGACCATCAACTGATAAAAGAGGAATTGTTGTAGTGGGAAGTAGGTTGCCATCACGGTTGCTTTCTAATTAGAACCGTAACCAACTCGTCCTTTTATTGCTAGATCACCCATTTACAACTTCATATATAAGGTAAGTACACAATATAGATCATGGAGGTCTTGAAAGTACTCTAGTAACCCAGACTAAATTATGGATTCCATATAAAGTCAATTAAAACAAAGTTCATAATGTGCAGAAAACCCGAAAAAGAGATTATATAATGAAAGGCTTAAACCTGCTTCCCCTTTTTATAATACTGTTGTGGATATAATTGGCCCTTTCTTTATAAAAGTTGCTGTAAAAAGAAGAACAGAGGAAAGGTTTGCAGAGTTTTATTTAATTGCCTAGTGAGTATGGCTGTGTACATAGATTTAGTCCAATTTGTCTTTTAGTTACAATGAAGATTTCCAAAAGCTATGTGCTCAGATGGAGATACTCAACTAATGGTCACAGACAATAAGTTGAAATCAGCGATGAAAAAATGGAACAAATCTAATATAATTCAGTTCAGTAGTGATCAAGGAATGACCTGGCATTTTAATAAATGCCAGATGCCCCATAGCAAAATGGATGAGTCCTTGATAAGATTGATTAATAGAGCATTACGTACATTAGTTGGTGTAAATTCATTTCGGACGGCATTCTTTGAGATTGCCAACTTATTGAATTCTCAATTATTTGAAAATAAATCTCGAAGTGACATTACTCTAGGAATGTATTTGTCTCAGTGATCTTCTCGGAAGACCTAACATTGAAGCCCCAATAGGAATCTGGGATCAAACAGAGAATTTTAGAAAAAAAAAAGAATTAATTACATTCAAGCTATTGTAGTATCCTTATGGCAAAGGGACTTTTCCCCAACCTTGATCGTTCTGGCATTGTGAGAAGCGAAATTTTCAAGTAGGTGATACAGTATTGATGCAAGATTGTAATGCAGCCAAAGGAGTGTGGAGGTTAACTGAACTCGTCAAGATGATTGGGGGCATAATGTTAGTTTAAGGTATAAATTACAAAAGATGGCTTTAAAGTATACTAAGTATACTGGAGCATGGTCGGCTCTGAAAATAGTGGGGATTTTGCCAATTGAGGAACAAACCAATCAAGTGTGATTTTTCTTTTCTTTTCTTGTAGGTGGTGGGAGTGTATTATCATGGACAATAATAGTAAATTATATGTGTGTATTATAAAATACTTGAATTCATGTTGTTAAATTGTATTAATTTTTGAAAACTATATATTTTTGTGATATTGATATGATAAGGAAAATTTATAGAATTTAAGTTCTGATGAAAATACATTCTTTAGATTTAAAAGCGTTGTCCATTGAAAATTGAAAAACTGTCAGATTTTGCTGATTTGTAAATATTAGGTAGGAATATATTTTATTACTGAGTGTTTTTTTTATAATCTGAATCCATGCTTTAGTATAACAGTAGATATATATTGATGAAATTTAAATACTAATGTCTTGGATTTGACTAGGGTTATGTCATTGTGCAAAATGTAAGCACAGCTTATATGGCGAATGCATTGTGTTCCTGTTGACTGACAGACTTGAGACAGGCTGAATTTGAGGTAGATTGGTAGTACATAATTAAAATATCTGCAATGATGATTATTATTATTGAAGAATTGCCCAAGTTTTATGTTGCTCTGTCATTTAATCTTTTCTATGGTTTCATTGTTATGGAATTTATTGCCATTATTCTACTCATGGAGTGTTTCGAACCATCCCTGATTGTTGAGAGTTGAGTGATACAGTTACAAAGTGTCTGAACCAGTCAAGCAGCCCAGTAGCCATTGGCCAGGATTGCATCATCTCTCTGTCCTGACTCCTGTTCCTGTATATATCATGTTATAGCATGGCCGGATTTGTGCCACTGTGTGGTAGTTTGGGTGTTACAGCCACTCATTCCTGAGCTAACTGCAGGAGTGTAGAGTGTAGAGATGTCACTATCTGGTTTGGAAGAGTGATTCAGTGTGGGAACATTTTAACAGAATTCCTTCAAAGTTAGGGAATGGATGGAGAGCTATATGCAAACTGTAAACTTGAGTTACAAGAAATAGTAGCAAGAATGAAATGTCAGCAGCTACAAATTGAATTATCAGAGGAGCATTTTGGTGATCCAGGCAAGACTGAAAATCTGACTCCCAAGGTGCCCCTCAAAGAAGTGTTGCAACTCCAAAAAACGTCCTACTTCTGCCACAAGTTTTTTAATGTGTAAAGCAACAACTTTGGACACATTTGTTACAAACACTTTATGAAAAAGCAAAGATGGTCTTTGCAACCAACTCTTTATATCCAGATTGGTAGAACATCCTCGGTTTTGTAAAATGGTTGGGAAGTTAAGGTCAGGATACACACGTTTTTTTAATTGTTTACAGTTAAAATTATATAGAAAAAAAGCCGGATGCGGATGATCTCAAAACGATGACGGAGAGCGAACTGAAGGTCAAACGGGGTCAGCTATCTATCTATGTATATATATGTGTGTGTGTGTGTGTGTGTGTGTGTGTGTGTGTGTGTGTGTGTGTGTGTGCTTGTATCTATATATATAGATAGATAGAGAGAGAGAGATAAATAGATATTTCTATAGATTGATATGGATATAGATATAGATTAATAGATAGACAGATAGATAGATAGATATAGGTGTATAGATAGATATATATAGGTATATTGATAGATAAATAGATAGATAGATATAGATATAAATATAGATGTATATCTGTGTGTAAGCGTGCTGCGCGCAGAGTCCGATAACCTGATAAGGGACACTCAGTCATAACAAAGGGCCAGTTATAATGTCCGATATCAAATGTAACAATAAGACCACTTGAAACAAAACACGAGCGACAGAAAGAAAAGAAAAACCATATTTGCGTATATAATTATATAATGGTTGTAGCCCTAAATTAGATATGCAACAATCAACACTAACGTTGTCAATCTTGCTTATCTGTTTAGGAGTTGTCTTTGCAATATCTCTCATTTTTCTGTCTCTTGTCTCAGCCTCTTTCATTTTGTATTTGTCGTGTCTCTAGTGCAGGGGTTCTCAACTTTTTTTTATTCCTTTGTGTATATTAATCATAATGAAAGGTTCCTCTGATCTCTAAATAATAAGGGTCTGGAATTTGTTTTATATCATTAGATTATCAAATTTGTATTATATAGTACACGGTAGAATAAAACAAAAGAGGGAGGAGAACTCTTTATCAGCCACAATGAGAGTGTTTTACACGACTTATAATGCACACTGCTATGTACACTGTATGGCAGTATAAATCTTGGTTGCACGTTCAGATCTTTATATTCCCTGCAAAGGTAACCCTGGAGGTACATTTCCCTCGTGTAATAAAAAAAAGCTGTTGCTGTGTCTTCAGACTGAAATGCTGAAATACTTTAAGAAGATCATTTCTGAGACAATTACAAAAAATACAATTATTTCATGTGTATAATGTGCAATAAAAACTGACGA